ACTCGTCGAACGCAGCTAACTGGTTAAATACAGTGCTTCAGTTTAGTCAAAAGAAGTACTTTAATCTTATTTGGAGATCGTTGACGCGACGGTCGAAGCGTTAAAGAACAGCAAACGAATAGATAAAATGAAAATGGCGTACGGGGGTGTATTCGATTCGGACGCGATTAAGTTGCTAACGAATGCGAGCAATATTTATTGAATTATCGAGCAACATCGAGCAATATTTTGTGCATTACGAGAGCCCGTAACTGTCACAAGCGGATAACAGTCTCGAGGGATTAACCCTTTGCAGTCGAGTGGCGACTCTAAGACGCCATTAAAAATTGTTATGTCACGTTTGAAGATAACGTTAACGTAATCAAATTTTGTTTATATTTATGAAACCCTTAACACGTTGAATGCCACGCCGATTTTACAGAAATTGTCCGTGGCGCCACGATGAATTTTCTTTTATGTGATACATATAATGTTGAAATATTATCTGCAATAGATAAGTTACAATGTATAACCATGTTTGACATGTTAATTGCGACAGGGGTCACTGTTTGAATCGACGATGGTAATAATACAAAATTTTAATATTGACATTTGTTTTCAATTATATATATTTCTATCAATTTGGGCGCGTCGGTCACCGGTGGCCGACTTAGGACAACTTTTAAAATACAAAAGCGTTAAATTAATATTTCCTACGGTAAATTGTATAATTTTTAATGATTCATTTCATTGATTAATAGCGTAATTGTTGCACGAGTTACAAAATTCTAAATTCATATAAAATGAGAACGCTATAGGTCGGAAGAACTATTTTGGATTTCTAGTTAGAACGGCTCCGACTGCAAAGGGTTAACCACTTGACATACGAATAAAATGTGCATCGACGCGTCCGAAGAATACTATTTAATTTGGCTCAACTGGACACTCATGTACAAGCTCAGAAACAGGGCCTTTTCTTTTTAAAGTTACATTGCTATATAACATTCAATAGGGTTGAAGTATAGTGTTAGTGTACAACAATTAAGTAATAGTATAAAATAATAATTTAATAATTTTGTAATGTGTGATACATCTCAAAGCATTTAGTAATATGTAGCGGAACGAGGCATATTTTACACTGCCAAGTTGTTTCACTTCTTATATTATGTTTTACGCAAACATGGCATCTTTTTGCAGGATGTTGCTTTTTATTTGTCGCGGGTATATGTTCAGGAAAATGTGTCCAATATTTTGCTTGTAACCGAGTTGGGCATTCACTTTGCGACCGTCTGCCGCGTGTCGGATAGTCCGGCAGGGACAAATTACAAAGCATGTCTTCTGCAATATTCAATCGAAAATTCACAATCGATTGCTTTTGTGAAGTAGGCAATTTGGAATATAAAACATAAGCATTATAAATAGCTACATCAAATATATAAAAAAATATTTTTTTATATCCTTTTGCACATTTTCTCATGAGGGGGAAACATGCAAGAGATTGGTCCTGCTTGTCTACACCTCCCATTCCACGATTATACTCCAGAACACAGGTCGGTTTTATTTGTCGATGCAATTTTGTTTATCGGTACTGTTAGGAGGGGGAAAGCATCTCCAACAGTCTAAACAAAACAGCATCAATGCACGACCGAAACAATTAAAGAATCTAATAATGAAATGCACGGCGTTCGCCGAATACAGTTCTTGACGTCTTGGAGACGTCAAAGTCTACAATGGCACATGAAGTAAATGACGTCTCCCAGACGTTATTGTATGTCAAGTGGTTAATCGCACTCGAGAATGAAGGTTTCGAAGTTTCGTTTACAACGCGGTGCCATTTTCTCGATTACCAGCGGACCACTCGAACTTCCGGCCGAACCGTTCGAACCGGGGCCTTCGGACGTAGTTCGAGCGCAAAAAGATCTATTCTTTGCCTTTGACGGTGTAACGATTAACTTTCGTTGCACCTCCGCCCGTTTGCCGCCTCCTGGAACACAGGGAGAGCCGCTCGAGCGTTGCTCGTGAAAAACTTCGTCGACAGCTGCCGAGAGAGAGTGATTCAAAGCTTTCTTCGGTGGTTTTTGTGAAAATTCGTGAGCGCTTCTATCCCCTGCCTTGACCGTAATCTGCTCTAACTTGAAACCTTTTATACGTCGGGATATTCGCGTGTGACGATCTCGTTGCCGCTCCTCCAGATATTTATAATTAAATTATATTAAGCGCAGAAAATGTCTTCGTATTCTAAATCCTCCAACTGGTGAGATTATTGGTTTCCTTTTGTGGAAAGAGAACGGGGAAGCTAGTTGGTAGATGCGAAAAAGTGATTCAAAAGCGACGGGGATTATGTTATTGATGAACTATACTCGCGTATGTGCGTTACTTAAACGATGACAACGCTTTCCGGTACTCTTAATACAGTGATGTTTCTCTAACTGACGCTCAGATTGTCCTAAAAAATGGACAATTTTGGAAGAGGAGATACGATTGTTCGAGCCTTGTGGCTCGTTTTTTATGGTCATTTCTAATTTCCCGGAGGTGCCATAATTTTTGGACAGCGTGTATCAATGCCATTTTGAAAGAAATCTTTTGACTGAATGAACATTGAAACTTTCGATTTTCTAACCACAAAGAAATATTTAATCCCAACATCGTTGACCTTTCGTTTGGGTTTCGATAAAGAAAGAATTTTTATTTTGATCGGATTTTAATTCAGCGGAAAAAATCGATTAAACAGTGCACAGCAGAAATCGAGTTGAAGAATCTTTGGGTGAATGGATAGGAAGATGAACAATCATTGGAAGGCGATAAGAGAGAAAGAAAGAGAGAGAAAGAGAGAGCGAGAGAGAGAGAGAGAGAAAGAGAGAGAGAGAGAGGACAGCTCGTCCACTCGGCCGACCGGGCTAACTTTCAAGGAGTTAAACTCGATAGAAATCTCGTCAGCTTTAGCGATTCCAAGATTTTCTCAATCGGATCCTCGGAGGCTCGGCAGGCAACGAAGTTACAGGCAACTCGATTATAATCGATCGCGGGGCCTGTTAAAACGACATTGACGTTCGTCCTGATTCGCCGTGACAACAAAGACCGTCTATAATTTAATCATCAATTAATGAAGCGCCGAAGAATCGGGAACGAGTGGTTCATCCAGTACCGGAAGTTTGGCGAGGCGGGGGCGGAATGTTTGAGTGCCATCCCGGGATAAAGGACTTATAAATGCAGAAGGGGGATTGATCGTCAAATTTGCTGATTTATTAACGGACACCGGCTACCCGGAAAGTTTCGAAAATCTGCGGCAACGAATAATGCAAGAGAAAACAAGTTCGAGTACAGTAAATTCTTCCTAATTGACACTCACAGATTGTACACAAAAATGGACAATTTGGGAAAAGAAGATACGATTATTTATACCGATTGTCGACAACCATAAGAACGAGTCGCGAGGCTCGAATAATCATATCCCAAATATAATATGTTCCAATTATATTATATATAATGTGATAATAATCCAAAATTGTCCAGTTTCGTGTACAATTTAAGCGTCAATTAGGCAGAATTTACTGTATTCCCGTTGCACCTGAACTAGAGATTCTTATTTCACGTATACTTAATAGAGGAGAAAATCGAAACAATGAAAATATACAGGGAGTCCCAAAATTATTGTATAAGCGGGAAATGAGGGGTTCCGGAGGTAATTTGAAGCAACTTTTTCCTTAGCGAAAATGCAATCCGCGGCTTCGTTTACGAGTTATTAACGAAAAACGGTGGCCAATGAGAGGCGAGCGCTTGGCTGGCGCGAGACGGCCGAGCCAATCAGCGGAACTAGGCTTCGACCGCTCGTTGACTCAGCGAGCTCGCCTAGCGCGAAGCGGTCGAGCCAATCAGCGGAACTGGGCTGCGTGAACTCGTTGACTGGGCCGCCTCGCGCTCGCCTCTCATTGGTCACTGCTTCTTCGTTAATAACTCGTAAACGATGCCTCGGAGAAAATTTTTGTAAAGGAAAAAGTTGCTTCGAATGACCTCAGGAATCTCTAACTTCCCGAAAGTATCATAATTTCCCTGTATTTTCGCAAATACGCGCGAACCCGCCCTTCGTAAAATCGGCCACAATTCATATTTACACGAAATATTCCGCATCGATCGAATTCCCCGCGTAATTCGGAAAGTAATAAACGCGCGTTAAATGTTCCGTTGATTAAACAACATTCGCAGACACATGCTCTCGCGTTTGTTTATCGGTGTCGAACCCGTGACAGCCACGGTACATTACATCCTATAAAACGAGCTAATTTTACGCTTTACAATGTCATATTCGAAATCATCGCGCGCAGCGTGACATTCGATGTCGATAGAATCCGATGCGTTCGGTGTGAAACTAGGAACGCCGTTCCCGAAACGAGTTACATTAACGTACCTCGTTCCTGTTCGCAAGAGTCTCGCGTGTTGTTGCGACCAGTTAAATGATTTGCGGGTTGGAAAACGTCGCGCCGGAAGAGTTGAACGTTTCGCAGGGTAATGTTGTTATTAAACTGGGTTAACGGATTGGGAAACGGATACGACGCCGCGACCGGTATTAGCGAACGTTCGCGTTCGCCGGAGCGTCACCGAATTAATGGAGAATCGAGTTCGTTTAAACAAGGAAAAAATAGGGGAGGGGAGGGAAAGGGGGAACGGTGAGAGAAAGGTGGCGCGTCGTTGAGCCGGCGAAGTATCACGTTGCTCGGCAAACTCGAGGCTTAATAAGCGGCGCTCATTAACCAAGGGAAAACCACCCTCTTGTGGTTATTTGTTCGCGCGCCGGCCGACGGCAGATAATTGCCGGATTTTTGTTACTTTTCGCCCCAACCCGCCCGCCCCACTCCCGGAGATCCCGGCCGGCTGAACAAACGTGTGTACCAACAACGGGCCGGCGGTGTTGACAAATTGAATTCGGCCCGGTGCCGATAGTTTAATCAAGGATTCATTGATCGACGAACGCAGTTCCCATTCTGTGCAAATGACCGGCGGCCGTGCACCGCGCACCGCGGCCCAGAAATTTCCATCAAATGAGACAGCGGTATAAAATCCAAGGGCCAGAAGCAGAAAACTGGCGATCCGTCGTTTCAGTGCGACGAGTGCCGCGATCGGTTTCACGCCTCGAATCGTTTTCAACGGGCGACAAAACTCGCGGGGAAAATTCAGGTGAGCTCGTCGAACTAAGATTAATCGAACCTCGCCGTGATTTAGTTGCCCTGTTTCGATCGTTCGTTGCGAGAAGATACGATAAAACTGCTCTAGAGAAATCAATTTTCTAGAGAAATATTAATTTTCTGGAGAATTCTAGAAAGACAGTGGCGGACGAACGAATTAAGACGAGAAGAAAGAAACTGGTAAAACAACGAGATCGCAGCTATTTTTTCCAGTATTCCTGACTTGTTCAATCTTTACGAACTTTAGCAGACGCAAATAGTAAATTTTCGATACTCGAAAATGTGTTGATATCTTACGCGATCTTTTTGCCTTCTTTACGCTAGATTTGCGGAGCACAAAAAAAGACGCCGTTTCATATTGGTTTATGAAAGTAACAATAAGACGTTTATTCTGGTTTTTTTAATAAGGATTATTGTAACATTTGTGCCCGTAAGTGACGTATAAATAGAATAAATAACTCGTAAATGTATATCTTCACGATATGAATAATCGTAAATTAAAAAATTAGAGACCCGTCATTTTGTTTCGTAAATCTAATGTTAATCGAATGTTGCAATATCGGTTGCAGAAACAAACGCGATCCGTTATGATTGATGCAACGGTTAATATTTTTCTTTCTTTCTGTTGTTTCACGTCCTATTTCTTCGTCGATCATTAATAGAGTCAAGCTATCGAAAACATAAAAGCAACCGTGTCTTGTACGCATCCGTAGATTTCAAAACGGAACGAATCAAAATTAAATAAAAATTAAATAAATGACGCTTATATAATATCCGTATAACTGAGATTAATATTCATCGTCTTAAATTAACGACCGCTACTGTCAGTCGGAACGTACAGAATAAAATTTCTTCGTCTATTTCTTTTTGTAAAGTCGACTTCATCGATTCAATCAAGCCATTAATCAATCACCGTAGTCGCGACTAGAATTTTAGAATCGACTAATTTTATCGTGCACCGTTTTCTTCGATTTTTCCGGCTAGCGACTTCTAAGCCCACCTTGTATATCGAGGACAACATAGAGTCCATTTTACTGCCGAGAACTCTACGCTGCAGGAAATACATAGTACGCGTCACGATGACACAGCGTTCTTTCGATTTAGATGGCCTTTTATCCGAATAAAACGATCCCGCGATATCTCGCGCTACTTGAACGATTTAAAAGAAACAAATCACGGAGAACAAACTTGTTCCGAGACGATATTGTCTTAAGCTGCGTCATGCCCGAAGAAACGTATCAAACATGATTAACAGGCAGAGCATGGTATTAAAGATGCGCGAGCGCAACGAGACACGTGTCGCATACACCGAGAACCTGTAAAATCCGGTCTTGTTACAGATTTCTGCCTCGCAATATTTTATATAACTGAACACCTCTCTCTCTCTCTCTCTCTCTCTCTCTCTCTCTCTCTCTCTCTCTCTTGCGGTTATTTCAAAGCATTTGCATCCGCGCCATGGCGAAAGAGTTTTCCAATAGAGCAGTTTATTTTGAAAGTGGCGCAAGTCACTTCGTTTTTAAGTCGATATATTTAACCCTTTGCAGTCGAAGCTGTTTGAATTCGAAATCCAAAATATGATTTCTGATCTACAGTATTTCTATTTTATATAATTTATTGCGATTTATGCATATGAAATTGAGCCTATTGCAGCAAGTACAATGCAATTTTAATAGCTTTTTAAATACATAAACGAGTCTGATGCTCTCAGAATGATTTTGAAAAATAGTATACCAATTTTTAGTGGCGCCTCAGAGTCGCCATTCGAGTGCAAAGGGTTAAGGGTTTGCGTTTCAACACGTTTAAAAATGTGGATGCTAACTTTCGAGAAGATCTCTACTTGTATTTGTTATCTCAGGATACTGATATTTTTCTCAGTATAAATAATTTCGTATAAACATTAAAAAATCACCGCTTTTCATTACGGTAAAGTGACTTATGCCACTTTCAAAATAAACGGCTCAAGAAATACCGATTATTCTCACCGAATGATCTTCCAATTGCACGTGCTTAGTATGATACACGGTTAGAGACAACTGGAACTGGCAATTTGTTCGCGGCCAAAATTGTAATCAACGTGAATTCAACGACACACAATTTATTCATTGAAATCAGAATGGAACGACGTTGACGGCGAGCATGAAGTGGCAAGTCAACTCGTCGACAGCAGTTAGAAGTGTAACGTTTCATTAACCAGTTAGATACTTTTGACGATACTTCGACAAGAACAGCCGTGATAACGTAACATTTTGCCATTTCATCGTGACGAGTGTACTCGTCAAGAACGGCTATAATAAATTCTCTCTAATCGACGCTCAGCTTGGAAAGAAAAATCGACCATTTTGCAAGACGAGGTACGATTATAGCAGCCTTGCGATTCATTTTTATAGTTGTTGACAATCGGTGATTATAAAAATGAGCCGTGAGGCTCATGTCCATTGTCTATTTTTGTGGACAATTTACTGTAATTACAGTAAATTCTCCCTAATTTTCCTTCAGCTTGTAAACAAAGATAAATAATTTGTGAAGAGGAGAGCCTTTCACCGAAACTTAGACCTCCTTTTTATAATTGTTGACAATCGGCAATTATAAAAATCAGCTGTGAGTCTTGAATAATCGTATTTTCTCTTCCAAAATTGTCAGTTTTTGTGGACAATTTACTGTAATTACAGTAAATTCTCCCTAATTTTCCTTCAGCTTGTAAACAAAGATAAACAATCTGAGAAGAGAGCCTTTCACCGAAACTTGCACCTAGTTTTCATAATTGATGATAATGGGTAATTATAAAAATGAGCTGTGAGCCTTGAATAATCGTATTTTCTCTTCCAAAATTGTCCGTTTTTGTGGACAATTTACTGTAATTACAGTAAATTCTCCCTAATTTTCCTTCAGCTTGTAAACAAAGATAAATAATTTGTGAAGAGGAGAGCCTTTCACCGAAACTTAGACCTCCTTTTTATAATTGTTGACAGTCAGCAATTATAAAAATCAGCTGTGAGCCTTGAATAATCGTATTTTCTCTTCCAAAATTGTCCGTTTTTGTGGACAATTTACTGTAATTACAGTAAATTCTCCCTAATTTTCCTTCAGCTTGTAAACGAAGATAAACAATCTGAGAAGAAGAGAACCTTTCACCGAAGCTTGCACCTCGTTTCTATAGTTATTGACAATCGGCAATTATATCTCCTTTTCCAAAATTGTCTATTTATGTTTACAGGCTAAACGAAAATTCGGAAGAATTCATTCCACTTTGATATTCCTTATTAAATTATATACGTTACAAAAGTATCGCATTTAAACAAAAGATGAAAAATAGTCAAACAGAGATTGAAATAGCTAAGTAGCTAAAAGCATAAGCATACGAATAACATTATGCAAATGATCCTAAGCATATATTTGTCAAAAACGTCCACTGTTTAAGCGTTAATCCTTTGCACTCGAAGCTCTGCCTTAACTGTAAATCTAAAATCATTCTTCTGACTCGCAGCATTTTCATTTTGCACGACTGAATGTATTTTATGCAATACCAAGTTGAATTGTGCGACTTGCACGACGGTCACGCTTTCAAGAATTGTTTAAATCTGAACTTTGTTGATATAAAAATTACCTTAGAACGTGACAAAACAAATGTTAGAGTTGCCTCAGAGTCGCTACCCGAGTGCAAAGGGTTAAAGAAAATCTTGCAAAATAATAGAATACCGGTACATACACAAATAGCAACATTGCTAATGCCGTCGCACGATTAGCCAAAAAATGATCAATTCGTAAATCTGCTCGCGCGCTCGTCGCACAAACTCATCGCCGGAATATGTAAATAGACGCGAATTTGCATGGAGACCTTCGATAGGCGTCGAAGGAGAGAGCCGACCGTGAAATATCGGCTTCCACGAATTCCAAAAAAAGAAGAAGAAATAGAAAAGCGAGGTCGCGTCAGAGTCGTTGACGTAAGTCAACGTAAGCAACGAATGCTGGCCCTGACACAAACTCGCTTTTCTTCTTCCGGTATCAGATGTTCCCGGCGAACTGTTTTCCCTTTCAAAGCACGGGTCGCAATGTTATCGCGATCAAGAGAGAGGCCCGAATAAAAATTCCACGAGATCTACCGTTTCCACGGGATCCAAGGTTTCCGCCTAGATCCAGGGATCTAGGCGTGAACCGCGAAGGATCTAGCGTGCAGAGTCCTCGGCAGAGGTTTTCGCGGATCGATGAACCGGTTCCAATTCGCTGTCGATTTTTTTTCTCGTGCAGAGATCTACGGCTCGGCTAACGGGACAGCTTCTTCAGGAAAGATGTCGCGAGTACTCTCACCGGTCGAGGTGGCCGCGCACAACGACGAGGACGACCTATGGTTCGTGTACAAGGGCGGCGTTTACGACATCACGAAGTTCGCGAAGGAACATCCGGGCGGCGAGGATGTGCTGATCGAACTGGCCGGGAAAGACGGGACAACGTGCTTCGACGAAATCGGACACACCACCGAAGCCGTGCAACTGCGGGAGAGCTATAAAATTGGCGTCTTGAGCGAGCCCTTTTCCGGAGATCCGGCCGCCGACTCTCCCGGTACGAAACTTTAGAATATCCTCCAGTGTTTGACCCTCGAACGACCGCAACGTTCTGACCTAGCTTCCCGCGGGCTCCGTCAACTTCCTACCACCCCGCGGGTTAACCCAAATTGTCGGCCCAGTTCGGACAAGCATGTCGACACAGCTCGCTCAAAAGTGGATTGCTCTAATCAGAACATTAAATTGTCCTGGAAATTGATTGTGCCTAGATTTACTGGGTGTACCATAATTGTGTTAACACTTGGAAAGGGGGATCATGTGATTCCTCGGGTCGTTTGAAGTGACTTTTTCCTTGGCGAAAATGCAATCCGCGGCTTCGTTTACGAGTTATTAACGAAAAACAGTGACCAATCAGAGGCGAGAGTTCAGCTGGCGCGAGGCGGCCGAGCCAACGAGCGGGCGAAGCACAGTTACGCTGATTGGCGAGAGCTCGCCTAGCGCTAGGCTCTTATTGGTCAGCGTTTTTCGTTAATAACTCGCGAACAAAGCCGCGGATTGCATTTTTGCTAAGGAAAAAGTTCCTTCAATTTACCTTAAGAATCACTCCTTTCACCTTAACATAATTATGGAACACCGTGTATAAAATAATGAACAACTTTGAACAGTATTCGTGAACCGGAGTAATGGAGCCGGGTGGAGTGATCAATTGATGTGCCTTTGGTTTGCTTTCGGGCATAATTAACCTCATATTTTTATCGAATAAGATGTGTTAAATTTGTTCATTCTTCAATTTTAATGATTTTCGAATATCTAGGCAGTCTAGATATCAATCATTCTTTTGGTGTCTTATTTTATTTATTTTTGAATAGAAAAATGTAATGTTCCTTATTCGATAAGTATAACGTTAATTATACATTTTTTTCTGCTAAAGAATAAACAAAACAAAAGAATAACAAAATCATTGATATCTAGACTTTTAAGATATCCTAAAGTAAACAAAATAAAAAAGAATAAAAGAGTACAAAATGTCTTATTCGATAAATATAAAGTTAAATTTAAATTTCTTCTACTCAAAAATAAACAAAACAAAAGAATAACAAAATTATTGATATCCGAACTTTTAAGATATC